TTGTGGGTGAATGTTTGTGTGTATATATTTATATATAATTTATACATAAATTAAAGAAAACCTTTTCTCTCACTTGTGCTATAAGATTATGTGGGTGGATTGTTACTTTCGGAAAAATAGAGATATCAGTAAGCAAGAATGAATTTGGGAGGTTGAGGGGTGGTCATATACCTTGTTTCTTTACGTTTAACTCAGGTGATGAATAAAATCTCCAGCTGATTAATCGTTCTGACATTGTAAATAATCTTTCATCCTCTTTGGTGGCCTGTGAGGTTCACATATTTGGAGGGTAAATTCCTTTTTTGTTTCTTTCTTCTTCCCTGTGTCATTAGTATAGTAAGAGACCATAAAAAAGTGCAGCCAGAAGGGGTTCAACTGTTACTGAGTCAACATTTGACAGTCACACTCTCTTCTGTCATTTCATGCATGTGCTTTTTATGAGTTTTACAGCTTTGAGAGCTTTATTTCAGGGATGTCCATTATGATAGCTGATCCACAGCCCATCTCTCTGTGTGTGTATGTGTGCCTGGTGGAGAGCAAATCTCATCACTTTTACGAATCCCAATTTCGGGGAGTTATAGAACAACCACCTACACATGCGTGTTTAATTTAGGATTAGGTAACTGAGGAGATATCTACCTCCTCTCAGGTATAGTTTGTGTGTTCCTTTATTTTGACTCTTCTGTGAAATATACACTTAGGCTGTCTATTTGAGCCTTTACAAACAATTATTTTAAGTTTGGGGGTTTTGTGGGATGTTTTGTTTTGGGTATATGTTGAAGTAATAGAATAGGAAATATGTTCATTTTACACATATGTATGAGATTTATATTATGGAACTGGAACTCATCATGCTTGAGTATAAACAGAAAAAATATATAAATAAAACGATCAAATATATTTTAGTAGATGATAGACCAGAGGGAAAAACACTCAGCAATTTTGAAAGTTGCTACCAAAATTATTGTTTGTAATTCATATTTGTCTCTTATCCTAGCCATAGATTATACAGAATCATTACCATAATAGAGAACTCAGTATTTGAATTGAACTATTCCTCTAATTCCTCTATGTTAGGAATGATATTTGTCTTTTAAATTTCCCCATTGAATTATTTTTTCTAATATTAAAACCATACCTATCTTAAATGTTTGCAAACTCATAAGAATATATCACATATTTAAACCCCATTTTACATAATAGGATTCTGGGTCTCAGGGAAGTTAATTGATTTGTCTAAATTGATATGGCTAATACATATGACATAGTTTGGTTAATATGTGCAGTTCCTAAAGCCAAAACCCATTATTTTTTAACCACAAATATGTCCTTTCTCTATTAACCACTATAGCTTTTTGCCATTCAAAATAGTTGTGGCTTAGAAGGTATGACTCTATACTAACCACTTCTATACATGACCACAATCAACCAATTGTGCACGTCTTTAGATATCTCTTGTCTCTCCTTGTTGATTCCCACCCTAGTCTTGTACTACATGCAAACAATATACATGCTATTTTCCATTATGCAAGTGACCTGATAAGCCAAAGTCCAGTTGCTATATTCCCCAAGATAACATTAATAATAACTCTTTGGGTACTGAGGGTCAGAATTACTCATTTGAGCACAAGAAATTGTATAACCCGCAACTATCTTTTCTTCTATAGATGAGATACAAATTCATTGGATTTTTTTTTAAAGAGAGAGTGAGAGATAGAGTGAGAGAGAGAATTTTTTAATATTTATTTTTCAGTTTTCGGTGGAACAACATCTTTATTTTATTTTATGCCGTGCTGAGGATCGAACCCAGCGCCCCTCGCATGCCAGGGGAGTGCATTACCGCTTGAGCCACATCCCCAGCCCAAGAATTCCTTTTAATGTGTTTACTTCTCTTTAATTTTTGCTTTCTTTCTAATACAGAGAATGTAGGGAAGAGAAGGCTAACAAATTTGTCCATGTTGGATCATCCTTTTAATAGTACTAAGAGTGCAGAAAGTGTGTTAAGTTGGGTTGTGTTTTAGATCATTGACCTTAAAAATGGAGGCATGTGGCGCAAATTTTTTTTTTGTACAAATTATTGACTAATGTGATTTTTATAAGAGCTAGTGGAACCAAGATTATAAAGCTGGCAAAGATTGTTACCTGTCCTATCAGTGTTTCTGTTTCTCCTATGGTCATGCTCACTTTCTTTGGCCCATTTTCAACATTTTCCCACCTATTCTCTTCCACCTGCCATCTACTACCTTTCAACTGCCTCTATTTAGAAGAGATTTTTATTATAGGATATTTGAGAATCAAAGTATTTTCATATCAAGTGGTATTAGATATATGGAAAGAGGCTTTTGCATAAGGAACTATATAGGGCAAAGAACAGAATCATGAATGGTAGAGTTTTAGAGACGACAGTACATAGATAGATACTTTGGGGGAGGGAATTACTGAGGATGGGGAACTAAAATGAATGGGTGGGAGGAATAGTTCAAGTATATTAGTATTTGAGTTTAATAACATGTGATTGTTTCTTTCTAACACTCTTGAATAGCTTGAATTTAACTAATTTAACTGTTGAGAACTATGCTTAAATCCAACCCATTCTTTTGGTGACTCAATATGCTATCCAGGCTTTGAGCTACATGTAAATTCATATCTACCTCTTACATAAGAATTGTATGATAAACGTTCTAGGATCACTTTTCATATGGAATTATATGGACATTATTTTCCACTTGGGTGATTTTTATCTCCTCTTCCTTGCATTAGTTTCTTTATATCTTTTGAGTTTATTGTCCACCAGTTTTTCTAAAATGTAGCAATGGCACCATTTGTATTTATATGCTGTTGCGATGTGTTTTGTTTAAAGGCACATCACATATTCTCCATTTTCTTCAATTACCTCTCCTTTTTCCCCATTCACATGCCTGAGAATCATTATACAAAGGGTCGTACAAAAGCACAGTTTACCATGTTAATTTCCACTGTCTCCCACTGACATTGCCTTGAGAAGTACTGTAAGCTCCACTTTGGGGCAGCTAATTGAATCATTTTATTATGCTATGTGCTTTAGAGGTAGGTAGTTAGAGGTTACTTATTATAAAAACTGATTGCAACTTCCCCGCTCATCATTTGTTAATTTAGCCTCTTGGTAAAATGGCACAAAATCCATAGAGCTCTGAACTCAAAACCTTAGAAGACACTTAACATTTTATTCCTTTTCTATGCCTATTGCCTTTATTTTGCTATTTCTTCTTGAATTTTTTTTCTTCAGAATGAAGTATTCTCTAGAAAATATGTAGTATTATTTCCCTATACACTGTTAAATCAAAACTTGAGAGGTGATCCATGCCCGGCACATTCCCCAAAGAAAGTACAGTACAGTCTTCATTGACCCAGGGAATGTCAGATCATGTTGATGGAATGTGGGGGTTTTTTTTAATGTAACTGTCTTTTATTTTAACAGCTACATTTACTAGAAAGAGTCTGTTAAGCTAGTGTCCTTGGAGCTCTTGAGCTCAGGTGAATAAAGAGCAGACTCTCTCAGCAAAAGGTATCCAGAAGATATTAAACTGCTAAAAATGACAACCCAAAACAAATTGAGCCAGATTCTTCATTTTAAATGTCTAACTAATTTCTACGTTAATACCACATAATTCTATAGAAATAAAGTTAGCATAAACTATTTTTGTTTCCCTGCTGCATTGTATACTGATTGACAATTAAAAATATTTTTCCATTAAACTATGTACAGACTTTGATGAATAGAGTACAGGAGTTTCAAGGCCAGTGACTTTAGAGAAATTTTTATCTAGTTGGTACAATTATAGAATTGTCACAGATTTTACAGAGATAAAGAATGTATTATATTAAGGATGTCAATGTCCTATTAGTTCTTAGTGAGAACATGAGTTAGGCTCTTTACCTGTAATACAATTATCTCAAATACTTGATTATTTTCTTTGAATACATTATTGCATCAATAGCTATTCTGCAGTGTATGTAGTTCACTAGTACAATTCATGTCCATGTTCCTCAGAAAATGTGATGAAGAGTGTTATAAAGAAACTTGAGCAAATGTTATGAGATCCAAATAGATGCTTTACTTAAAACTATTTTGGAACCACATCATCCTGAGAGTAATGCTGGAAAGTTCAAGAAAAAGCATCAACCTTTCATTGTATGCTTTTTCAGTTCTTAAAGTCACCCAATCTCTCAATTTGGAAGCAATTTAATATCTTATGTGGCTTAGATTAAGCACTATATTTTCCTTGAACAGAATTTAGTTTGTAATGCCTTGTTCTCCATGAATGCAAATCATACACTGCATGCTTTTAAATGACTTGATGTCTTTGCAGATCTAATTTTGGTATATTTGTATCTCAAATAATTCGCCAACTCAATATTTTGGCTTAGCAATCCAAATCAAATTGTGGTCCAAGTAGCAGGCACTCACATTGGATGTACAGAGACTTGACAAGCAATTAGCAATGAATATTTAAATGTCTTCATTACCCTTGCATGAGAAATGCAGATGGCATTTAGGGAGATGGCAACCAGAGGGCACTACTGTGAATTATGTTTCTACATTTGGTCACCTGACTATTGGAAGACTTTCTCTGGGCCCCATGCCACTCCTGTACTTCTACTGTCTGGCTAAAAATAAAACAGGCATTGGAAATGTAGAACAGGTTGCTTCTGTGAAATTTCTATGCACATTTTGTGATTTGGGAAGGTTGTCTCCAAGAATCCCAGCATATCTCAATTAGGCATACCAAACCCAAAAGCCAAGACTTCATAGGGTTTATAAGAATCATGGTTCCTTCAAAAATCCTGCTATTCATTTTCTTTAATCACCACAGTATAATGTACTGAACATTCACAGGTGAATAAGCCCAAATCCCATCCCTTCCAGAAGCTATTGTATTATATGTGGTCCAGGGGGGGAAAAAGCCTTCAAATAATTATTATTCCCAAACTGACCTCCCATTTTCAATCTCTTTTTAAAGGAAAAAACAACACTGGAAAGTCTGACTCAGCAACTGGCAGTTAAACAGAATGAAGAAGGAAAATTTAGCCATGCAATGATGGATTTCAATATGAGTGGAGATTCTGATGGTTTGTGAAAATCATTCATATCTATTTCAATAATGTACAGGAGTATTTAGTGTCAGTTAAAACTACTAAAAAATAGACAAGGCAGTCATTTCATACCTGATACAATAGATGCTTCACATGTACCAAGCAATTCCTGGGTACCAAGCAGTCCACGGAGTGCTTTGCATAGATCATCTTGGTTAACGCCTACCACAACCTAAAAGTATTTTTACAGATAAAGAGATCAACCCTTGGAGTTCAGAATCATTCTTTTTCCAAGGATGCAGGGCTCTAAATGTCAGAGGTAGGACATAGATTCAAGATGGCATGATTCTAAAGCAAGCACCCTTAATCACTTCTACCCTGTCTCTCACATCCTTACTTCTTTTGCCCCAAACAAACTTTTTGGAAATTTGTATTTGTCAGCTCATTTTTCAGTTTCCATTTGTCAAACCATGACATGAATACTTGGTTCAGAGGACATGTTCAGGCTAGTTTTTTTTTTGCATTTTGGAATCCTGCCCACTGATCCTCTCTACCACAGTCAAAAGGCCTGTCTACTCAGTCACACAACTTTATGCTTCCCTTCTATAACTCAGGCTTGTGTCATCTCTGAACATTCCAAACACCCACAGTGACAACTAATAAATTGCACAGCAAAGAAGGAAAAAGAAGGCAGTGCTGTTCCCCTGATACAGTTCCCTGTCCGGTGATCTGTCTCTAGTGTTAGGTGGCATGCCTGTATTTTGGTGGCACAGCCCTCTATTTTGCTGCCATTGCAGAGGAAGTTCCCTGCAAGTAGCAAAGACTGCATCAGGGCTAGCCAGTCACTGCACACAGTAGAAGAGAAAGGGTCCCACAGACTCCCAAGGACATAGCTGTCTCTCTGTGCTTGGGCTAATTCTACCTGATTGTCAGGGTGTGCACCATCCCAGGACTAGCCAAACTTCTCTAATATATCCAAACAATTTCCTTCTGTTTTCTACTTCACCAGGCTTGGATAAACCTGGCTTGAGTAAATGTAAAGAGCTTGTTTCAATTTGTCGAAGTCACATACTGTTCCTTTTATTGCTTATGTTGCTGTAAGGTGTAGGAACAAGAAAAGGCAGATGTGCAAATGATCATTCGCTAGTTAACAAACCCATTTTAGAAAGATGTTGCCATATATTAGCACTCATTTTTGTCAATAAAAAGACAATTGCTGGTAATAACACATTTCATAAATTTTAAGTTGCATTAGCATGGTAAAATATACCCATTGCAGCCAGCATTAAAACATCAAAGTTTTTCTTGCTGTTATTTGTTGCTGTGCTTGTATGAAGAATATTTTCCAGACCAAAGAGCATGTTATAAATGAGAAATAATGACAAATTCTACAAATGGATATGCATATTGCTTTTTTTTTTTGATGCTCTTCAAGTCTTCAAGTCTAGGTGATTTGGGTTTGTTTCCTATTCAAATTAAGAAAAAAAAGAAGATGAAAGAAGAAAATAACAATGATGCTTCTTTTCATTAATAGTACAAGTTTCTGGAAATCCACGGAGTATTTTAAGTTTTGCTCCCTTTTGTAATGACAACCAGTGGAAATCTAGTGTCAGAGTTCTTCATTCTTTCTGGCTCTCCTTATTTTCATTGCCTGAACTCAAGTACCTTGGAAGCTGTTTACTCTGCAGAAACTATTCTAAGATGTCCCAGTAGGCAAGAGGAGTAGATGCAGCTTCCAAGGGTTTCAGTGTGACTTGTGGGATGTGCTTTATCATCAGTGAGTCTTACTAATTGAAATGTAACTGCCAGTGAGTCTCTCTGGATAACTTCAGATGTTAGGGGGAATATTCCAAAGAAAAAAATTATATATATGTATATATGTATATTTGTATATATAATATTCTATATATACTATTTGTATCTAAAGGATATAACTATAGACTTCTTAAGACACCATAGTAATACAATTATTAATTTGTTCTTTCTACTACAATTTTCAAAAATCTTTTGGGGGGACAGACTATCACTGCTATATCAACATGCTTCATGCATATATTAGCACATAATTTTAAAGAAAAGCCAAGCACACTAAAAGGCAATATCTATATCATATTGATACCTTGAAATTCTCTCTAGCTTGTATGTTTTTATTTATGTAACCTCAGAGAGAAGAAAGAATACGAGTACTGTAGTTCTGACAGTCTTTAGCAAAAACATATTCTCAACTTTAATAATCCATCATGCCACATGGACTAGTATTTCACAATTTTGTCAGCTTCTTTACATTTTTAATATTTCTGCAGTACTGTCGTGCCTATTGATCTAAGTATTTTCTCTTTATATTGCATCACAAATCATATATTACAGCTTCTTTTGTGAGTTTTTGAAAGTAAATGGTGAATGTCTATAGTTCATTGAGAGAAAGGAAAAACATATTAGAAATAGACTAAAATTACAAATACAACATTTTCTACCACAAGGCTTATCATAAAAACTTCATAAACAAGCATCTGTCTTAAGAACTGGAAGTACCATTATCAGAAGTACTTTTTGTTTTCAGATATTTTAATAGACTAAAAAACAGTAATGTAAGAAAGAGAGTTGCCAAGAGTTTTAACACTGACATGACGTGGTGTTCCCTGTTTTTTAGGAAGTGCTGGAGTTTCAGAGTCAAGAATTTATAGGGAATCCAGGGGGCGTGGTAGCAATGAACCCCACATAAAGCGTCCAATGAATGCCTTCATGGTATGGGCTAAAGATGAGCGGAGGAAAATTCTTCAAGCCTTTCCTGACATGCACAACTCCAACATCAGCAAGATACTGGGTAAGAAGAGCATTCAGAATTAAGCAATGACTGAAATAAACATGATTTTTGTTCTCTTTTCTGCAGTTGTGGAAAGATACTGGATTTGGAAAACAGACAGCTTATGCCATTTCCTTATCCAAAATATAAGCCTCATCATTGAGGCTTCTGATGATTATGAGACATTCTATGTTCATCAAGAAACGTAGCCAGTTTCTATGTGTCTCCATACTAATTATTATAATATTTCTTCTTCTTTAAAAATGCAGAAATATGGGACTGGGGCTGGGGCTCAGTGGTAACACACTTACTTAGCATGTGTGAAGAACTGGGTTTGATTCTCAGCACTACATATGAATAAATGGAATAAAGGTCTATCAACAACTAAAAAATATTTTTTTAAAATGCAGAAATATTTAGTTATGACTCAGGAAAAAAGTTGCTCTCACATGAGCTACTAGATATATTGGTACTGAAATTTTTTAATCTTTTCCTTTGTGAATGATAGACAGATTGGTAAGCTTTCCTTCCTCTCTCCTCATCCTTTGTAACATAGTGTTAAAGATTTTTGACATTCCATTTAGATTTCATCATGTTGGAGGATGCTGCTTGTTCTATAGCTGAATATCAGTTTAGATACTCAGAACATAAAAATATCTAAATTGTACCTTCTTTAATTTATACCTTCAGTAACATTAGGGACTAGGTATTTTTGGTAATACTTAGTAACTTTAAATAATTTTCCACATTATTAAGAGATTTTTCTTCCACTGAAGATTTCAGCTTAACAGAAAGCAAAGCACATATTTTCCCGACAAGCATACACTGAAGCACGCAGAGAAGATGAGTGGTGAGAAAGGGTAAAGATTATAAAGAGACCTACTGTAGACCAATCTGAGTCCCATAAACAAAAGGATGATTCCATTTCCTTTTTCATCTTTCTGGATGTCATTATTACTGCCATCTTTGTCACCAGTTTCATCTTCAAGTGGCCCAATGACCAGCGGACACTGTATTAGACACTGAGGCAATTTTAATTTTTTTAATTCTCTGAATTCTAAGAGTTAAAAAATAAAAACATAAGAGGACGACCTTATCTATCAGCCAATTTTCACTTCAGAATTAAGTAACAAAATATTAAAGCTTTTTTAAAACTCATAGCACACTTGGAATTACATGTAGTTTAAAAAGATGGCATCCGTTCTTCTTCTCATTCAGGAAATGATCATCTCAAAGTAGTTACTACACATTCCTGTGTTTTTATGATCTCATATTCTCAACAAGGAAACAGGTTACCCAGTCTGTGATGTATAATGTGATAAAAACAAACAAAGCCATTAGCCAGTTAAACTGTTATATCTCAGTTTTTTCATCTGAAATGAGGTTGCCATCAGTAGATAAATATTACTACAAAAGATATGAGCATGTGAAACTTTAGATATACAGAGAACATATGAAAGCTTTTTAATATACACACCTACACAACATCAAAAAGTGAATGGATCAAAAAGGAAATGCATTTATTTTACATCTCTACCATCTCTGATCTATTCTTCTTTTTTATGACTCTATTTTATCTTCCTTATAAGTTTCCCATCATTAAAAAAAAAACAATATGCCTGTTTCATTTGGATGAACTTTGGAAAGGAATAAAATAATTTGTATAACTATATTCATGTTTTATCACTTACTCCCAAATTAGAAATCCAAAAATGTCAAAATAAAAACAAAAGCTAAATCCTGATTGCCTACACTGCCTTTGAATCACTCAATTGGTGTGTCTTCATAATAAAAAAGTAATAATCACCGATTAAAATTTTATCCAAGTAGAAGAGAAATATAAGTTTTGATGATATAAAACGAGACTTGAGAAATGTAGCAAAAGTCTATGGAAAAAGGTAACTGGCTAAGAGAATATCTTTCTGATTTATTAAAGAAGAGAGTATTAGAATGACCATGCGATTATATCATCACAGCCTACATGGGAGTGCTGTCTAGTCTTTCTCATAAAATTGTACTAATTAAAGATGTAACAGTTATATTTGGTCAAAAATTAAATACTGAATTGTTTTCGACCTTAATATTTAGCCATAGCTTTAAATAAATAAGTGATCTTCAAATATCCTCGAGATCATTCTAATGGCTTATTTCATATAAAAATACAAAGAAAGCTTGATGTTTTCCTCTTTGCTGATTGTTTTGGATAACAGCCTTCGACAGCATGCTGCTAATTCATTCTGCTTAAAACAGGCGCTTGAGCTGGGTTGACATTTTACGTAGTCTCTGGGGATCCTAGTTGACATTTTAAAGGGCTTCTAAGCATTTTATAATACCCTAAAATCTGGTTTTAATAAGCCATTCTGCTGAAATTGTTAACATAAGGAATCACCTTTTACTGTTTGGCGCTGGATCAGGGAATGGGGGACATCTTTTTCTGATTAGATATACAGTAGTTGGAGTAAAATGTGCAAATTCATTACATACCCCATGGAGATGACAATGTTGCTCAGCTCAAACTCTCCACTTTTAGTGTATTGCCAGATTTAGAATGGAAACAAACAATTTTAAGACCTTTTTTCCCCCCTTATTTTAAGCACCAAGTATTTTTTAATAGACATCTTCTCTTTTGTCATCAGAAGGAATACTTAATTGCATGTCTCTGTTTTTCATTACAAAAAGTCCAACCTTCTGAAAATAGCAGGGAACTTACTCCTTGTACATGGGTCCAGGGCAATCAACCAGCCACACCCAAATCAAGTGGCTATTTCCATCTAATTCGGAACTATCTAATTTGTTTTCTCACCATTCTTATCTAGTGTGTTTCCGGGGCTGACACCACCACTGTAGTCAGTAACTGTAATAGCTGCAGAGCCATTGAAACTAAAACCGAACTTGTCAATTGGTTATGCAAAATCAATGTAATTATTGAAAAATGAAAACTGGATTTGCCACAAAACCAAAGAACTACTCTGCATGGTCTTAGATTCTCAGTAGTCATTTTTGTTCCATCTAGGATTTAGACAATCTTAATTCTTAATTTAAAAAAATGAGTAATTATTATGTGGCCATATTTTAAAATACAGTTTAGGAGTCAGTGACACTCCCAGAGAAACTGTCTGATCAAGAGTTAAAAATATTTGTAATCCAGTTGATGCCAGTTTTGAAGTCAATTGATTTGAGAATTTACCTATCTTTTATGATGCTATTTTCTTCTACTTAAGTCCTTTTTCCTGTGCATTATGTCAGACTAGCTTTGGTTCCTCTAATCTCCCACTAAAAGACCTTGATCATTGTATTCTTCCTCCCTAAGATGCTCTTCTCTTTCTGATGCTTGGAGAAGCCTTCCTGCCCTACAGAAAACTGAGCTTACCTCCTTATCGCGGGATCTATTAACTTCCTGTATTTTTCCAATTGTAATTAAAATAAAATTTGTAATAAAGTGTTTGACATATTTTTCCCCACTGAAGATGAACTACAAGAAGACAGGAACTATAATAGTTCTCTTGTTTACTACACTATGTATTCTGTAATTAATGTAGCATTATGCACGTGTAGGAAACAAAGACAGCATTATACACACAGTAGGTAGTACAAAAACTGTTTTAGCATCCAGAGGCAGATTACTTCAAGGTATAAACATTTCTGTTCTTTAGACTCTTTGACAATTCGCTTTCTAATTGAGAATGTTGATTTCTTTGTTCAATTTTGGGATAAAGATAGTAGATTTTATATTAACTTGGCCATCCTTTATATGGTTTTTTAATGTATTCCTATTTGCCAATAAGTTATTTCTGATAAGCTCATTTTTTCACTACTTGCTCTGAACTTCAAAAAGCTGGTATACATACTGGCAAGAAACTAAATGAACAAAATTGATATAATCCAATAGTATCATAACCATATCTGTGTTTTTATATCCCCTAAGAACACATAATATTATGCAAGTACTTCTAGATGATAATGTTGGACAAATAAGTTTGAGATTAAATCTACAAATGATATGGCCTCACCAATTGACTTAATATTAAACAATACTATTTAAACAGAAATTTGAGAAAGGAACAGGAAAAGAAATTCTATTATTTAAGCTATAACCTAAGTTTCTGTTATAAATCCAATAAAATCATATTAGTTGTCTAGATTAAATAAAAATCTGTTTATAAATCTTTGTAACACCTATGATCAAATACAACCTATGTAACATGTGTTCCAACAGGAAACAATTCTAAACACAGAGATAATTCCCCTTTCATTGCATTCTTCAATGAACATAATAGTTCATATTGAAGAATTCTCTGCATTTGTAGGAAAGAACTTTCAACAGTGAAATATTTGTATTTGAAATGTGGAGTTATGATTGAGAAGTTAACCAATCCTGAAACTTCTAAGATCTTGCTTAGATGATTTTGGAAGGCAGGTAAATGTTAACCAGTACATGTTCGATAAGCATATTAGTCCCTTTTTCATTACTAAAAGGAAATACTTGAGGATGGGTGACTCTGTAAAGAGAAGAGACTTATTTTAGCTCCTGATTGTGATCTAAGGTCCAGTGACTACATAAGGTGAAGGCTTCTTGCTGGCAGAGCCTTGAGGTAGCAGAGGGCATCACATGGCAAGAGACAAGCATCTCTACTGTGTTTTTCTTCTCTGATCTCTGTCTCTTTTCTTATAAATCTACTCTAGTGTTCAATAATAGGGTTCTCATCCCAATGATTTTGCCTAATCATAATCACTCACCAAAGGCTACACCTCTAAATGGTGGAATTAGGTTTCCATCCTTTTAATATCTTACAGTAAGGACTTAAACTCCAAAATGAGTTTTTGGGGGGACAACCACATTAAAACACTGCTATAGGGAACCCGTAGGTCCAGTTTTTTGGTCTTTGTTTCTTTGGATAAAGTTGCGCTGGCTATTTTTCGATAAATACATTTCATCTGCAATAAAAGTAAGTCTGTCTTTTAAAAATGAACACTCTTACTACTACTCCTATTGCTACTATACATAGCTATACTGACAGAATCAAAGCTTTCAAGCACATCTAACATGAGAATTAGCATAAACTATTTTTAGTTAAGCTTCAAATTTGTTTTTCTCAATCCCAGTTGGATCCACACCAAAATTAATAGTGAAAAGAAGGGAAAAACAATATGGGTTATCATTATTAATTCATACTGTTTCATGGAAAGTGACATCTTTATATCTTTCTGAAAGTGGTTTCTGAAGATAAAAATCTTACATAATTACCATTGGATTTCTGATCACTGATAGATCATATAGAGTGGGTGGCTATTTATATGTAAAAGTCTACATTGTAGCATATTTTAAATTCTATTAAACCTGAGTTTGAGTCAAAGATCTGAGATTTAACACTAGTGTGCTCTTTACAGAGCTACTCAAGTTCATCTATTTGAATTTTTATTGCTATTTGAAGCCTATTTCTTTTTCTGTTTTAACCTCAGTTTTCTCATCTATGAAAGTAGCTATAAATGCCATCTATTTGATTGTGAGGAAAGATAGAAATTGGACAACATGTGAAAAGTTCTCAGTGCAGCATCTAACATATAGTAGTTACCCAGTCCATGGTCGTTAATAACATGCATTTTAATTAAATGAATTTTACTATAATCCTTCCTATAGTCACACTTAAACATTTTGAGGAAAATGAGAATATGTGATACTGGGACACTTGTAGCAAATAATGTGCCCCCACAAAAAAATTAACACCGACTAGATAGTCTCAGATTCAGAATATGTTCTGAATTATTGTCTCACTTTTCAGCTGAATTACATCATGGGCTAATGTATAAATGAAAGGCATATTCATGAAATTATTGATGGGCTTTTAAACACATAATATACAAGTTTGGTTAAACTGTTCATTCAAGTCAGAAAAATAATATATTGCCCAGAGTTCATATCTCTGGGTATAGTTTCTTTGAGTAGAGTGCCACCAACACCTCTGTTCTTGTGAGATCTCGCATTTGAATCAAAGCTCACTAATCAAAAACATGTTTATGTATTTCTGGGCTTGGGCCAACATTTTTTAGATTTTCTTGTTCTCAGTTATATCTCTTTTTTTTTTGGATGCTTAGAAGCTGTGCAAATTGGAATCCTAACCTTCCTTTGTTCACAGGATCTCGCTGGAAAGCTATGACAAACCTAGAGAAACAGCCATATTATGAGGAGCAAGCCCGTCTCAGCAAGCAGCACCTGGAGAAGTACCCTGACTACAAGTACAAGCCCAGGCCAAAGCGCACCTGCCTTGTAGATGGCAAAAAGCTGCGCATTGGAGAATACAAGGCGATAATGAGGAACCGGCGACAGGAAATGCGGCAATACTTCAATGTTGGGTATGGAACTTGCAGCTGTTTATCTTATGGGTAGAACCTCCTTTCTCACTCAATGGGATAATGCAACATTTATTTAGTTGCAAAGGGGCATTTTGTAAAAGAACCTGAACTTAGTATTTTGAGTGACTAAGCTGTCAGCCTCGTGGACCTAAGAAATACATCCACAGGTATCCATTACAAGCACCTAGTTCCTGCAGTCACTTTGTCAATAACTCATTTGCAAATAAAATATCTTAAGAGTAAATATTTTTAAAGTGTGATATTAAAACTTGAAAGTATTATCTGGTACGGTGCACATGCCTGTAATCCCAGAAGCTAGGGAGGCTGAGGGAGAAGGATCAGTAGTTCAAAATCAGCCACGGCAATTTAGTAAGGCCCTCAGCAACTCAGTGAGACCCTGTCTCTAAATAAAATACAAAAAGGAGTGGGGATGTTACTCAGTGGTCAAGCGCCTCTGGGTTCAATCTTCAATACTAAAATAAACCCTAACTTGAAAGTATTACTGTTTTTCTTCCTTGGCAGTTTTTGACACTCAAGATCTCACTATGATAAATTATACAGCTCACAACTTATTTGAGAGAACACAGCATAAAAGTGATTTGAACAGAGAGAAACACTTGTTTCTGAATACTGAGGAATTGCTGAGCTATCAGTGCACATGTGTAGTCTCTGTGGATCACACAGAGTAGGGATTATATTTAGGACTCATCAAGGCTGTGAATGGGAAAGTTCCATTCTGAATTAGAAATGCAGCTCTCAGGATGTTTTCCTCCACTTTCTGTGGCAAGGCTGTTGACAGTGTTGTCACATGCTGTCTGCAACTGCATTGCTTCTGCCGAATTATCTCAAAGTACATAGACATAAAGTTGCTCATGTTTGAAACAGATCCTGAGAACTTAGAATAACAAATACCGTTCTGCATATGGCCAGAGGATATCTTTGAAAATAACTTCTCAAATCTGCCCTGTACCCTCCATTTCCTTGAAAGAGTCTGTGTGCTCTGTCCAAGGGTCTGTGGTTTCTATCCAAGTAGATGACTCTTTACAAAGCTGAATACAAAGTCCAACACTTCTTGAACATCAGTCCATTAATCCCTTCCTGCTAGGACCAGTTATACAATCTAAAGAGTCAATTACAAAAATGAGAGGACAGGGTCCCCTGTTTAAAAGTTATAAAGAATTTCAAGATTGCCAGCAGCAGGATTTTAACCAAGTATAGGACTGTAATGCAGTTGCACAAGCAGTGTTACCATGAAGCTGGGCCTGCCTCCTACCCCATGGGGAGAAGGGAACAATGCAATATTATCAATTCTGGTACATTCTGGGCATTTTGAGAGCTCTAATACTGTAGGAGTTTTCCATTAAAATTAAATTATCTTTAGGCTTAGTTATAATAAAAAATTATGTCTGCATGTTATAGTAATGGACAAGTGAGCATGGAGTTGAGAACATGAGTTTTTCTATTTAATCTTGGTATGTTTCAATCTTTTCCCCCTCAAAATAGAGTAGTAACACAATGACTACTCTGAAAATCCAGTGAGCATTTCATGTAAATGCCTTGTAATCCATGAAGGGCTATCCAGCAATAAGATAGTCAACTCTAAGTAGGATATTCATTTTTAAAATGTTAGGCAATCGAGTGCTTAGAGTTGGACACTATTGAGCAAATCAGCTATGGGGTAAGACTGGCCTCTAACTCATGCACTCACTCATGATCTCTTTTTGGGAATTCCTCTGTGACAGGCAACAAGCACAGATCCCCATCGCCACCGCGGGTGTTGTGTACCCTGGAGCCATCGCCATGGCTGGGATGCCCTCCCCTCACCTGCCCTCGGAGCACTCGAGTGTGTCCAGCAGCCCAGAGCCTGGGATGCCTGTTATCCAGAGCACTTACGGTGTGAAAGGAGAGGAGCCACATATCAAAGAAGAGATACAGGCTGAGGACATCAATGGAGAAATTTATGATGAGTACGATGAGGATGAGGATGATCCCGATGTAGATTATGGGAGTGACAGTGAAAACCATATTGCAGGACAAGCCAACTGATAAGGGTCAAAAGATGGTTGTGACCTTAGGACTTAAAGAAGCCCTAGCTGGTTCATCCTTACCAGTGGCCAAGCACATTAACTTTCTCATACACTGACTGTTACTTTAACTGTTAGTCTTAAATAGTTGGGACATCAGCTGACTAATAGACCTCAGCCTCAAAAGGCTTGGAAAGGAAAAAAAAAAAAACACAACAAGCAAACAACAATATCAACAACAAGAGATTGAAATAAGCTATGGGTAAAAATAATGCCAGTAATTCAGCTGCTACATCCAAGCACTGAAGTCTTACCCGTCAACTTTTTTTTTTTTTTTAATAAACTTTATGGCTGTTTGTTCTACAATGTTCTAGAAATTCTCACTCAGGTACACAGTGCCAACAAGTGGCTTGTGAATGTGTTTTGTTGTTTTGTGCTACAATTTTTAAAAAGAAATTAAGTTTTGTTTTGTTTTTTGGGGGGTTTCTGGGTTTTTTCCTTTTTCTTTCCTTTCCTTATTATTGTTATTATTTTTGGTTGTTGTTGTAATGCACCTGACAGAAAAAAAAAAAGAAAGATGAATTTCTCTTTATTTCTCTCCACCTTCTCCATCTCTATACTTTAAAGATGGAAGTCTGTGCATGGGGGGAAGAGGGAAAAAGAGCCTGTTTTTAACTTCCTTGCTATCTACCACAAATACATAATTATTTTCTTTAGAGAACTTTCTTTATCTTTTTGCACACCACACTACATCTTTGAGCAAGTGCCAAATTTGTACTGAAGTGTTGACTAAGTTCATTTTTCCCTTTCTTTTTTCCTATTCCTTCTTAAGTTAGGACAGTGTTATATCTTAGACAATCCCTTGAAAGACCTGAAATACCAGCAGCTGGTGAGATTTGACTTTTTTTTTTTTTTAAAGGAAACTGTAGGTGCTGTTCTCAGGTGAAAAGAGAGAGAGAGAGACATAAGAAATTTAGAGAAAAAAATATTTTCTGATCTTGGATTTTTGTGTGTGTGTATGTGTGTGATTATGGTACTAATAGGAATAACATTGGACCATTGTGAGTTAAACCCACATCTGGGGATGAAATCCCACATCCTCCTAAATGACTAGAGGTAATCTTGACCTTGACTTTGCACTTCAAATGACAACTTAACCAAGTATAGGGCTCAGAAATTATATTTTTAAAATTTCTAATATGATTATTATTGGATGGATCATGTGGCCCTGTGTAATAGAGGTGTGCAT